CATGTCGGAAAAACCCAGGAAGCCTTATAAGGCAGGTAAGGCAGGTAATCACAGGAACGAATTGTAATCCAATTATAATCAAGGAGAAATGTACTATAATACATAGGGACAAATTATAAGGTACCAGATAATTGTAAATGAATCGAAAATTTGTAGTGAGCTCCTAGCTCAATTGTAATGTGTGCGTTTCTTACTAGTTAGTTGTCTTATTATTACGGAACAGTTGTTATTAGCGGGGATTGAACTCTGAGCCTATTGATTACTTACCTTGTTTTGACTTGCTTATTGACTTGTCTATACTTTCCGCTGGGCTATGGGGGCATATTTAGGTACAACCTCTAGTTCTTCATAACGAGCGCCGTGGCTGACCCTTCGACAATACAGAGTTCATACAGAGCACTGTTCTCCCTTCTCGTAAACTTAGCTATAGTTTCCCCACCCAACATCATATGCACATTCTCTTGCTTTATGGGGTTCAAGCACTTGTAAAGCTGATTGAAGAAGGTCAGTACATGCTCGTATTTTTCGAGTTCAAAGATATATTCTTATGCTTGTTGTTTTTAGAGAAATTGTGCCCTCTTTTCCCGATGTTTTGGGCTCTTGAGAGCAGAGACCCAGATAATGGAAGCTTTCCGTGTCTAGAAGGCGGTGAGATATCCATGTATAGCATGTGATCGGTATTGCGTAGAATGAACAAAGTAACATAAGTACTCGCCTTACTCCTCACAATCCTATCCCAGCTCGTAAATGTGAAACACCCACCATCTATAGTGTATACGTCTGTTTCTCACAATTCCGTACCCTTCTGACAGCATTCACGCATTAGATTTGAACATCAAGTCTTCATGTAGTATCAAGTCTTCACGTACTACGTGAAGACTCGATGTAAGGTGAGTAATCAAAATGTACATGACCATTACATTCTATCCCAGTTCATAAAAATGAAACACCTGCTATCCATAGCAATTCCGTCCTTTCTAGTGGTGTTCACACATTAAATTTGAATGTTGCGTCTTCACATATGTTTTGTTGTTGCCTTGTTTGTCTTCATGCATGTCGTTTCGATTTGTTGTATGTAGCAGAACGAAATCTAATACTTTTTGTTAATAAAAAAATTTGTGTAACAGAAAATACGGAATTCAGTGTCGCATGAAACAAAGTTCTGTTGAATATAAGATGGGGTACATGAAGTGTACTTACTTGCTGGCCCTTCGCGGTTTTCCTTTGTTGTTGTATACATACATTGGACATGTGTATACCTCGTCGTTCCAGCTGTCGCAGACGTCAACGTGTTCTGTAGATGTCCCTCATGCCATTGACCCAACATATTGTCGTCGGGTATCTTGGTTAGGCTGCAAAAGTATTTCATTAGTGCTTTCATTTGTTGTCAACATCTTGACTTACAGTCTTCAGGTAGGTGTTCTATCTCGTCTTTGGAAGCGTTGTGAAACAGAGAAGTTGAATCTACAAAAATATGTTAGCGTGACAATAATCTACAGAGTCAAACTGACATACTTATCGTTTGGCATCCCCCGGACTCCATTTATCCCTCCAAAACTTCAAAACATCGCTGTTGCTCATTTCCAGCGTCGAGACGATGTATCTTCATCCGCAGAACCGGCATAAGTAATGCAGAATGCTCCATGAAAAGTGCTGAGTGCTTTGAAATGACCACGCTGGTTAGTGTCGTGCATGACATCAAATGCGAGGTAGGTACTCACCTTTCATCGCATTTCCACAGCTCACGACCTCTCCCAGCTTCGTCATGCGAAATGTAGCCTTTCTGTGGAGTATTTATCCGTTCCCCGCAACTCCCGCGCCCTCCTGGCAGCGTGTACGTGTTAGGTTTAAATGTGAAGTCTTTGTGTATGTGTAATTGTCTTCTCGAGTGTCATTTCAGTTCGTCGTAGGTAGTAAAAGGAAATATAGTAGTTTTGTTAGCTAAAAACTTGTGTAGAAGAGAATATGATACTCACGTTGCGTGAAACTGCCAACACGTCAACAATGCGCTTGAAAACAATCACAGGCGTTAGTATTGTGCAGGATGAGCGAAGCAGTGTAACTACTCACTTTGCGTCGCCTTTCCCACTCCTTAGGAGCCTGTCCCAGCTTGTAAACGCGAAGCGCCACCTTTCCATAGCATGTCCATCTGTTCCCAACACTCCTGTGCCTATCCGACAGTGTTTACGCGCTTTCAGCGCTTTGATTAGAAAACAAATAATGATCTTATCACACAACGTGATTCATTATAACGTGACTACAATAGCTCCCGCCAGCCTTGTAATCCATTACTATTATAAGGCATCACGGATTTTTCCGACACAGTGCTTTTGGAGCTAGCCAAATATTGTACCCACATGTTTTGAAATCTGGTCTATTGATCAAGGGGGTGGTGGAACATGGATCCCGGATATAGGGTTGGGGGGGGGGGGGGGGGGGCAAGGCATCTGTTGGAGGCCTTAAATTTTTTTGTGGCCCTCTCTAATAAAATCCATTCAAATGGTTTGCAACACTACCAGAGCACCCTTGGAGCTTGATTTGGCAAGTTGCACATATATTTGGTCAGTAATTTTCGACACCTTGCATACGTCCTGACATGTGTGGTGTTTACAGACATTTCCTGGGTGTGACACCCTGAAGGTGATGGAGTTGACATCAGGTGCATAGGTGGTTGGCATGGTGCCAGGCACGTTGATGGGTTTGATGAGCATGGAGAACCCAGAAGGCCATCACTGTCATTGGTAAATGACGTTCGGAGGTGAGGCTGCCAATAACTGATGGTTCCTTCTGAGAAAAACATAGGAGGGTGGGAAGAACATAGGAGGGTGGGAAGAACATACTGGATTTGGGGGGGTGAAGGGAGGGGGGGTTGAGCACTACGGCCTTAATTCTTCTTGCGACTGTATATGCAAATTCCACGTTCTGCCACCCCCTTGCTATTGATACCTCATTAGTTGTCATCATAACCTATACCCTTGCCCTTCCCAAACCCAACCCTCACCCCTGTAAAAAATGCAGTTCTTGTCATATATTAGTGGTTGGTATTCCTCAGTGGTGAATGTCATATGTGGGTATCACATATACTAACCCTGTCCCTTACATCAGATGGCTGGGGTTAGTGTTTAAAAGTCCGGTCTGGTCTGGTTTTTTGATGCCCCAGGGCTTTAACCATAACCATAACTGGTCTGCCTTTTCCCCAGAAGTCAAAAGACTGAACCAGACCACAAAAAGACTGCAGATCGCAGTTTTTTGCAGTCTATAGACCAGTCTTGGTCTTCTTCAGTTTTAACCGGTTTAAGACCAGTCTTTCGGCCAATATTTTGGAATTATGAATTGATAAATTTATTAACATTTTTCGTAGCTTTAAAAAGAGCCCAAGAACGTTAAATTCGGTTAGGAATTGGTGTTTCTATAAAAAAAGTCTGGTACATCTACTATTTTCAACAATATTTTACATTTTCAACTATATCTTTGTCAGTTTTGAACCAATTAATATGTTCTTGAGTGCGTTTTGAAGGGTATTTAGTGGGCTACAAAGAACCGGTTCATTTAGACTGGTCTTTTTGCAGTCTTTACTTCTCAAAAATGAAAAGACCAGAGCACAGGTCCGGTTTTTTGTGGTCTTGGTCTGGTCTGGTTATGGTCTTTTTCCAGTCACAAGACTAGACTTCCAAACACTAGCTGGGGTCATTTGGTCACCTCACATAACTCGCTCAAACCTTCACCAGACACCTTCAAAATTTATATACTATCTACCAACCTCAAGCTGAACTCATTCCAGGTATTCTTTTGCTAAGAAAACGGTATTGTCTTGTATGCTTAAAATAGGTCTTGTCACGGCTTTCCATTGTTGCCATGTCAGAGATCAATGGTGCGTCATCAATCCATCAAACATGTCAGTTGCAGTTTCAAGCACAGTTTCGTGATCCATGACCAGCAGCAACATTTTTGATCTGAATTTAAATTCTTGCATGATCTGACCTGTGACATTTGTGACTGACTGAATGACCCCAGGTGTCTGATGTAAGGGACAGGGTTAGTAGACCATGATGGCCATTGTTGTTCATTGACATGATTATCATTATGTTTGTTACAAGTAGAAAGTGATCAGCTGTCTGTGAGTATTTCTGACTGGTAGCATATTTCTTGGTCAAAAACAGAAAG